AGTGGCACAGGCATGGGGACGGAGAATAATGTCACCAATCGTGGTGAAACCACAATAATAATAATTAATAATTATCATATGGCACTGTGTGTAGAATGGAACTGTTTGAAGGGTTAAGCTAACTTAAAGATAAATATTATCAAAAATATATTTTTATTTATGGAGGCCAGGTCTACCCATAGAAAGTTAGGGCGGGTAGCCCTGTTCTCTGGAGGTCAGGTCTCCCCATCTGGAAGCCTCTGGCGGGTAGCCCTGTTCTCCAGAGGCCAAGTCTACCCACATAAGCCTCTGGCGGGTAGGCCTCTTCTCCAGAGCCCCAGTCTACCCATTTGGAAGCCTCTGGTGGGTGGACCTGGCCCCTGGAGTTGAGTCCCCCTCCCCCCCAATTTTTGTCCTCTCATTATGTGTAGAATAGCCAGGAGACCCTAAGATCGTCTGGCAGCCAGAAATGCTAGCTCTTTTAGCATTATGCATCACTAGGTGGCGAGCTAGACTTGTTTTTAAGGCAAGAGATGTTTCTGAGGTGGTTAGCCATTGCCTGCCTCTGCATCACCACCCTGGTATTCCTTGGAGGTTGCTCTTCCAAATACTAGCCAAGGCCGACCGTGCTTAGCTTCTGAGATCTGATGGAATCGGGCTATCCAGGTCAGGGTGAAATCACAGAGGCTAGGCAACAGATTCCTATCAAGTCTGTACTGTCATAAGCTAGTTGTGGTAGCCTGGGGGAAGGAATTGTTTGTTTTTTCAAAAGCAATGGTATACTGTCGACTGTTTTGCAGGGGATTTGAACTAAAAACGTTCCCTACAACAGAAGCACAGTTTGGAGGAATGGTGCTTGGATCCCCTTCAACTAAACTGAAGGACAGTCCAGCAGTTACTGCGTTCAAAGGAATAAAGCTGGATCCTCCCAGCTTTTGTGCTGATGAAAGGGGGAGGGGGCTGTGCTCAGGACTGTGGGACTCACGTGGACATAAGCACTGTAAGACAAAAAGCTACAGTAAGGAAGGTGATTGGGAAAGACTGGGTGGGTAAGCTGCTAGGCTACAAACCAGCAACTAGAAAAGATTACAACTGAGATTGCCGAACTTTAGTTCATTCACAAATTCAGACTGCCCCCCCCCCCCCCCGGCGGAATAGCGAAACGGGTTTTTTATTCCATACACAATACAGACGCTATTTTTCTGCCCATAAGCTTTTATTCTCTGCTCTAATCAAGCTGATTACATTTTGCATTGCCCCTTTGTATCCTGATTCATTTCTTCGCAATGCTCCTCCCACCTTCAGACTGGGATATGTGGAGTCAAGGATCTCTGTTCCCACTTGTATCTGATGAAGGGAGCTTTGACTCTTGCAAGCTCATACTCCGAAAATCTGGGTGGTCTCTAAGGTGCTGCTGGACTCGAATCTAGCTCTTCTACTGCAGACCAGCATGGCCACCCTTTGAAACAGCACTGAGAAAGAGGCTCTTTGTTGCCGCGCCACATGACAATCACCTTACCTTCGACAACATCAGATTTCACAATGGTCTCAGCTGCTTTTGGTTTCTTGGGTTTCTGAAACGACAGAGGCCAACAATGACAACATCTCGGCATACACTTGATAATTAGAAAAATCTTACATCTTGCTATGCTTTATACAAAGGATTTTGTTCCATATACCTACCCTGTGCTTTTCATACGACACCAGATACCTGCTTAGCTAAAATGAGGCAAGTCAGCCACTTTACACTGCTGGGTGCATAGTGACTGCTCCCTGGGAGAGGACCTATGAGATACAGGGAAGCAACAGGCCCAAGAGGAAGACTCATCCCTTGAGAACAAAGGGGGCACCTACTATCTCTAAGTATCCCGTGTTACCTTAGGGGAAATAGTAGGGTTAGGGACTTGTGAAAGGATTGAGGATTATATCCCAAGGTCCTTCCTGACAACTGGCCAGTGGGGGGGGGGAGAGACTTACCAGGAGTGGGACAGAGGCCTAGGCCATGTTGCTGGCAACATGGTGATGTCACTTCCAGTGTGGACTGGAAGCGACGACTTCGTGTCGCCAGTGTCATGGCAACACTCTGGTATTTGGACAAAATCTTTATGGTAAAAATGGCTTCTACCACACAGTTTTTTTCTCCCAAATACCAGAGCGTTGCTGCAATGCAATGACATCATGCCCAGTGCATTTTTTGTGTTGTGAAAGGAAAGTGCTGGTGTGAATCACTCCAGGAGAAGATGAGAGGAATAGAAATTTACTTTAGATTCCCATTCTGCCCCCCCCCCCCAGGCTTCCTCTGCAATAGCGGCATGTAATCCAGCACAGTTATTTGTTAACGTTGCCTTACTGACCACTCCCCAACCCATGTCACAACTAAAATCAGCTTGGTCACTGCTACTGGAAGGTGTGATAGGCTGGGTGGGGAGCTGAGAAAGCACCCGGCTGTCACAACTGGCTAGCTCTGCCAGGGTGGCACCGTCGAACCTTTTCATTTACGAGTGCTGCCGTTGGGTTGTGAAGTGGCGGCTGCTGTAATTATTATTTGTATATATCGCTGATGGTCACTAACCAAAATGCCTGCCTTTGGTCAGTCTAATGAGCTATAATTTTTTTTTACAACAACTATAAAATCAGAACTCTGCCTCCAAACATGGTAATTAAATTAGTTTTCATTAGACAGAAGAGTCTGCGGTGCTCCTTGTCTATTGAAGCAGATTGTTGCCTGTCAAAATAAACACTATGATAAAGTTTTTCATGTCCTCCCTAGACCTCTCTGTGTGTGTGTGTGTGTGTGTGTGTGTGTGTGACGGAGTAATTCAAATGTCGACTGGTATAATGGAGTGCCTTCCCTCCTCTATAGCATCCATCCTTTCAGCCCCAAGATTAACACAGGAAAGAGGTGCCTGACAATTGAGCGAATATTCTAAAATTGGGCGAATGTTCCAAAAGATGAGGTCACTAACCCGAACTACATACATGGGGTTGCATCTGGCCAAGACTTGAAATGACTACTGATGCAGGTTAGAGCGGAAAGTGCCAAAGCAGGATTACAGCTGAACATCAAAAAGACAAAAGTAATGACTGCTGGGGAATGACACAACTTTAAGGTTGACCATTAAGAAAATGAAATTGTTCGAGATTTTCTGTTCCTTGGCTTCATTATCAACCAAAGGGGAGACCGCAACCTAGAAATCAGAAGCGGACCGAGACTGGGAAGGGCAGCCACGAAAGAGCTAGAAAAGATCCTTGAGTGTAGGGATCTGTCGCTGGTGACCAAGATCAAGATAACTCATGCCATCGTACTCCCATTACTATGCATAGGTGTGAAAGTTAGGCAGTGAAGAGAGCTGACCAGAAGCAAGTTGATTCATTTGAAATGTGGTGTCAGAGGAGGGTTTTATGGATACCATGGACCACCAAAAGGACAAATAAGTGGATTCTAGCCTGAACTTTCCCTAGAAGCTAAAATGACTAAACTGAGTCTATTTGGTCACATTATGAAAAGACAAGAGTAACCGGAAAAGCTAGGACAAGTTGAAGGCAGCAGGAAAAGACCCAACATGAGATGGATTTACTCTAGTCAAGGAAGCCACAAGGGCCCTCAGCATGCAAGACCCTGAGCAAGGCTGCTAACGTTAGGACGCTTTGGAGGTCATTCCTTCACGGGGTCCCCATAGGTGAGAAGCGACTTGACAGCACTTAACACACACATCTGGCCAGCTGCCTTGAAAAAGGCCTAGTTGGATGTGGATTTGCTCCATTTCCTCCCCCCTGTTCTTCCTTCAAACCCTCAGAAAGGTAACATCTAGTAGCTTGGGACCCACATGGATAAAAAGGTTTGCAGACAGGTGTGGGGGTTGAGGTGAAGTGGAGGAAATAGGAAAAACCACCTGCCTCCCTCTTCTGCAGACAAAAATCCATGAGCAAAGGGGGAACAAGGGGGCAATTTCCCCCAACTGTGTCTCCCTACTACAGGCCCTGGAGCTGCATGGCTTTTTGTCTATGTGGATCCTTCAACTCACAAGAATAATCTTTCCAGAGTTCCAAAGGGACTGCTAAGAGAAGAGGAACATGGGGGGGGGGGAAGCCGTGTGCATTGTGCTGGCAGCCGGCCGAGTACGAATGCATTCAATTGTTGACTGTATCACTGGTTCTCTAATGATGGGTCATGACCCACTCGCTTGCAGGCGGGGATGCAGCAACACATGCAAGGAGGCCCGTGAGCCAGACACCCAGCCCCAACCTCAGTGAAGCTGACTGGGATGCCGTCTTCCAAATGGAGGAGTTATGGTTGCCGTAACAATCGCAGGTTCACTGGGAAGCCTGGATGTCATCTTGCAGGAGATCCTCCTGTGAGGTATCAGGGCTTCCCCAGTGGATCCTGCCTGTGGTCGGCACAGTAGCCACTGTCAAAGACTTTTAGGAGAAAGGCAGGCAGGCGAGGAAAGGCAGGGAGCCATGTGTCGGCTGCATTCTGTGGCCAGACGGGAATGTTTGTCACACTCTTAAACATGTAGCGATGTTTACTCTTTTGGGGGGGAGCTGTCAAGGCGCAGCTGACTTACGGCAGCTCTGTGGGCTTTTCAAGGCAAGAGGTATTCAGAAGTGGTTTGCCCTTGCTTGCCTCTGTGCAGAGACCCTGGACTTCCTTGGTGGCCTCCCATCCACATACCAACCAGGGCTGACCCTGCTTAGCTTCTGAGATCTGTCAGGATCAGGCTAGCCTGAGCCATCCAGGTTGGGCTCATATTTACTACACATTTACAATTATTAAAAGTGGAAAAACATATATTCTTTGGTGTTAACTGAAGTGAGATTCTTGCATTTTATTTATTATTTTGCAAAAGGAGGGGTCCCACTTCAAAAAGGATTTGACCCTGCTGGATTACGCATGCCTCAAAGATGCCGTGTAATGTAATTTACAAGGCAGCGTGGCATGTATCCTACGAATACAATCATCAAAGACCCGATGAAGTGTACCTGATGAAGTGTGCATGCACACGAAAGCTTACACCCAGAATTAAACTCTGTTGGTCTTAAAGGTGCCACTGGACTCAAACTCTGATCATCAAAGATGTTATTCTTCCACCAGTTTAAGGAGCCCTCCTTTAACCTGTGGCCCTTCTTCTGGTAGAAGAGCCAGTGAAGTCAGAGGAACTTTCCCGGAGCAAGGCATTAAAAGGGGCTGAGCAGAAGGGTAAGACATGGGTTAATCAGAACACAAATGTTTTGTCTGTGTTTCTTCCAGCAGATGGCAGCATAGGACTGAGAAGACTAGCTAGTAAGGGTGGGGAAGACAGGTCTCTCCCCGCCTCTGTTACCCCTTGCCTTCTCATCAGGCAAATGACTGAGACCAAAAAGGACATTATGTACTTACTGCAAACTGGACATGTCTACTGCTCCTTGGAATTAGCTTTCCCTGCATTCTGAAAGCACTTGCTGGGAGACAGAAAATGGCCCAAGGTACACATCTTTGCAAGGTCTGGAAGGACTCAGGTGCAAAATGGAGGATCCACATACATTAACAAACTTCTTCAATCTCACCCTCAATACAGGACCCATTCTTTGGACTTCTGCAGCTGCTTTCTGGCCCTCCCCCTTAAGAACGGGTTTAGCAAGCACAAATAGGGAAACAATAGCACCAGAAACAGCCAACAGAATACAAAGAAAAAGAATGCAGGTAGAAGACAATGGAGTCACAGAACTGAAAGTGTAGCAGTCAGTATTACAGCGGATCAAAGTCAAACATGTGCTTTGTGTCTAAAAGGTTCACTCCAAACGGGTAAGGGGAGGAGCTGTGGCTCAGTGGCAGAGCACCTGTTTGGCACACAGAAGATCACTGGTTCAATCCCTGGCATGTCCAGTTGAGAATCAGGGAGTAGGTAGTGTGAAAGACCTTCCACCTGACACGATGGAAAGCAGCTGCAAGTCTGAGTAGACAATACTGACCTTGATGGACCAGCGGTCTGAATCAGTACATGGCAGCTTCTTTTTGGTGTAGTGGTTAGGACCATGGACTTTAATCTGGGAGAACCGGGTTTGATTCCCCACTCCTCCACATAAAGCTAGTAAGACTGTGGGTCAGTTACAAGTTCTCTCAGGAGCCGTTCTCAAGAGAGCTCTCTCAGCCCCCCCTACCTCACAGGGTGTCTGTTGTGGGGAGAGGAAGGGAAAGGGATTGTACACTGCTCTGAGACTCCTTCAGGTAGTGACGGGCGGGGTATAAATCCAATCGCTTCTCTTCTTCTTGTGTGTTTAACTAAAGCTCTGCTGGATCAGACCAGTGGTCCACCTAGTCCAGCAACCCATTTCAGGATCAGAGGACCTACCCAACTTTTGACCCTCCAAGCCGGAGGAGGAGATTGCCATCCACATTCTGCTGCTCAGTGGTGGCAGGCAGCACACACCTCTCCCCCTCTTTGTATGGACCCAGAAAAGTAGCAAACCCAGGAACTGCATTCAGCCTTGCTAGACGGGTATCTTGTTAGCTCCAGAACAGGAGAGTGATGCTGCTGAGTCATCCCCATTTCCAGGGAGGCACCCAAGTCTTCTTGGGGGTAGCAACCAATGCTCCCTCTAGGCTCTGGAGCCCTGTGAGCAAAAATTCTACTTTGTGAGCTACCGGCATTAAAGTTGTGAGCAGGTGATTTGGCTGCTGCATAAATTAGTTTGCTCTGGAGCCGTCCTTCCTGAGCTAAGACAAAAATGCGTGAGCCAGAGGCTAAAAAAGTGAGCTGGCTCACACGAACTCAGCTTAGAGGGAACACTGGTAGCAACAGACATTGCCTCTCCCCAAGTGGCTACCCCCCCCCCCATAAAGACTCGTAGAAGAATATGCAACCTGTGCAGTGGACCTACTAAACTCCCACCATGAAAGCGCCTAGCAGCAGAGTATGCCTGGGTGGCACCTAGCCACCTGCGCGGAAACTTTCTTTACTTGACTACTGAACAATGAATGCTGCCACCAGAAACCCATGCTTTTCTGGAGCTCCATTTTCTGAGCAAGGTTTCAAACAGGAAGCCAAATTCACATCTGAAAGAGGAACTTTACGGGGGGGAAACTCACACTCTGCAGGTTTTTTCAAAAAAACAAAACAGTCAGGCAAGAACATGTGACAGTAACCGTAAAACCACAATGGTTGTCATTACTAAAAGCCTGCTTTGATGAATGGGTTACGGACGTGAGCAGGAGGAGAGAGAGAGATGGTTTCTGGTCCAGAAGAACCGGACGGTCTCAGCTGCCTTCCTCTGGAAGAGCTGTAAGTTCTTCTGTCAGACCACAATGTAGATGCTGGGCTTAAGCTGAATGGCTTTACACCATGACAAGGCGAGGCTGGGATCCAGGGAGAGAGACACACAAACACACCTGGCTTCAGACACATCTGGCAGGTTACCACAAAGTGCTGGACTAGATAGCCCATGGACAGATCCCGCAGATCAGTACTTACCGGTATGTTCTTTAAAAAGAGGGAGGGGGCTGGGATCATGGGCCTGTAGTTATCCAGTCTGGACTGCACATGTACCCGGTTGGGACCTGCAGAAAGGCCATCAGCATCCCTGGTGCAAATGTTCCTTCTGCCCCACGCGATTACACAGCTGGGACCCAGCTTGGGCTGCTTTGCATTTATGTTAATACATTTTTACTCGTCTTGGCCACTAGGGACAGCTGGAAACATCAGGAGGCAGACTTCCTTGGCCTGAGCATGGAAAGACTTCCTTGGCCTGAGCTGGTTCCATCCGTGGTACGGTGGCAGAGACAGTTGCTGCTCTTTAGAGGCCGCGGCACTCTGCGGCAACACACCCCTCTATTAACACCAGCACTAACTCCACACACAAAGCCCTCCTAGTCTTAGTCCCTCATATCTGCTGGACCGCCTCCTTCCTGCACTCTGCCACAACAGCTTCGTTCCTCTGAGCACGGCCTTCTACAGGTGCCAACCTGCCAAATCGCCCGCTCACGACTTTAGCGCCAGTAACTCACAAAGTAGAAGTTTTGCTCGCAAGACTCCACAGCTTAGAGGGAGCACTGATCATCCAACTACGTAATTTTTGCATCATTTAATGTGTCGTGTTAATACTTATGCTTTGCCTCAGTTCTGTTTTTAGACTTCTGGTTGGTTCTACAGCCCTAATTCCTGTTGCACTGTTCACTGAATGTCCCAGCCTGTATTGTATTGACGCACTCTATTGTAATCCGCCTTGAGGCCAAGTGAGAAAGGCGGACTATAAATAATGTAAATAAATAAAAATGAAAGCTAATGAGTTGGGAGTTGCTGGCACTTCTCGGAGCCAGGGCCAGAAGGAGCTGTCATCGATGTTGCTGGTCCCCCCCAACCCAGGTACTTTCCCATCTACGGGGGTGATTTTGAGTGAAATCAAAAAACAGCAGGAGAAGTGTGGTTAAGAAGAAAGCACCGGGGAAATTTTATTTATGACTGTGTTGAAAGGTCTCGTTTGAGCCTGAGAGTGTCCCGGGTTCAAGGCTCACAGCAGCCACAAATTCATGAAACAGTTTCATACCGCAAGAGGGCTCTTCCTAGGCAAGGCATTGCTGTGTCAACTGGACCTGACTAAGCATTCTCAGCTACGAACAAGAGACGTGCCTGGTTGGATCAGACTAAGCGCAATAGGCTTGGAAGGGATTTCAGCATAAGAAATAACGCAGAAACTGGCCAGTGGCTCATTTCAGGATGACGCTGTGCTTATCCACCACCATCCCCATTCTCGAGATAACAGCACTGGCCTAGCTTACAGTGCTGCTGTACGGACAACTGAGATACTCTGCGCACCTGAAATACACTATGCACAATTGCAATTATGCACATAAGTGCTGTCAAGTCACAACCGACTTCTGGCGATCCCAGCAAGGGGCTTGCATGGCAAGTGAGAAGCAGAGTGGGCTTGCCGTGGCCCTCTGCTGCAGAACCTTCCTTGGTGATCTCTCCTCCCTGTAACAGCCCTGCTTAGCTTCTGAGATCTGGTGAAACTGGGCTATACCACCCCACCTTCCCTCCCCACCACAGCAGTTAGCACTACTCTTATTCTTCTGCAAAGAATATCTGAAGATCTATAATGCAACCTCTGGCTTAGATGCATTCACTGTTGGATGTCTAACCCAATGGGTGGTGGGGGGAGAATGGGTACACTTTATCATGGGTGAGGGGGGGCTGCCCAGCATGAAAAAGCTCATTACCATAATAAGGTTCATTTAAATCATTTAGGAAATGTGTTCTCTCTCTCTCTCTCTCTCTCTCTCTCTCTCTCTCTCTCTCATATTGCTCATACATATATAAACTTCCTCAGCACATAATTTATCTGTTTCATCCACTAATCAAGACAGTCTATTTTGAGCCCTGGGAGAGAAGTGGACCCTGAGATTCTTTAGCTGGGTTCAGGAGTGAAATAACTCAAGGCATTCATTTGTTTAAAGGTGGTTTCCCAACAAATATTCAAGGTGTCATACACTAATACTGATAAATGTTATATCCCACTAAAGCTGTGGTTTTCCCGCCCCCCTAATATGGGGGGGGAGTGTTTGCACATGTGACAAAACACCTTGAAGCAAATCCTAACTGTGTGTGTTGATGCCACAAACAACATACCTTCCCCAATTTGCTCTTCAGTCTTCTGTCTTCCATTCTTGTCTTCAGCACTTCTACATCCTCTTTCGTGCCATTAAGCACAATTACGTCATCTTCTTGAAAAGGAACAGCGCACTGTAATAAGAACAACAGTAAACAAAGCATGTTTGCATGACCTCGGACGATTACGTAGTTTATGCTTTTTTTTAAAAAGAGTATGCATTCACATTACTGTTTCTAACAGAAAGTCATCTGGCCCTATGTGGATGATCCACCCACAGACAAACCAGGGGCTTCAACTTGGCTGGACTTTCCAGATAAGCAGAAGCTTTGAAACGTAACCGAATGAATAAATCTTCATTATCAGGCCTGATGAGGACTAAATATGCTCCAAAAAGATGGAATGTTGAGAGCTGCTGAGGGTCAATTAAAGGATAAAAAGGCGGGAGGAGAAATCAGTCTGGTCAAGCCTGGAGGGGAAATCCTGCGGGGGGTGGTGGTGGTTCCAAATTGACCCTCCCCCCATGATTCCTCGCAGGCCCCCCAATTTGTCAACCATTTAATCCAATAAACCAGAACTTGCTGATTCATTAAATTACTCATTTTTTCTCACTTGCTGGTGCTCAAGGTATTTACAAGTAAAGGTTCCCTTACTTGAAAGCCAGTCGAATCTGACTCTAGGGTTGCGGTGCTCATCTCCGTTTCCAAGCCGAAGAGCCAGCGCTGTCCAAAGACATTTCCGTGGTCATGTGGCCGGCATGACTAAACACCAAGGTGCACGGAACGCTGTTACCTTGCCACTAAAGTGGTACCTATTTATCTACTTGCAATTACTTGCTTTCGAACTGCTAGGTTGGCAGGAGCTGAAACTAGAGACGGGAGCTCACTCCGTCATGCGGCACACTTGGGCCTCGAACCACTGAAATCCTTCCACAGCCTTCAGTTCAGCGTCTTAACCACTTGAGCCACCGCAGCTCCTATTTACAAGTAGTACACTCCAAACACAATAGCACTCTAGTCACATTGAAAAAAATGGAAGAGGGGCTAGTCACAACTAACTTCTTCTACCGATTACAGCCTGTCAGCCTATTAAGTGCCACAAAACCTTTTTGGGAAGTCTAGAATTAATGTTTGAAGCCTCCAAAGAGAAAAGTGTGCAAATTAAATAAATGTATACTTTAGTCCATTTTAAAAAGACCCCCCTCGCTCTTGGCTTATTTTATCTCTTTCTGGCAGTCAGCAATATATTGCTTGGGGAAAGAATGGGAAACCACCTAGAAAAAGTCCACAGACATTAAAAGGACACAAAATTCCATTTTAAAAGATTCCCGTTCTGAACAACTCCACTTTTAGTATTTGATGGAATGATAATAGTGTGTGAGCCTTTCCTATGAGGATTCCTAGGATTTCAGGAAATTGGCAATTGGATTTCAGAGTCCTGTAAAGCCACCTGAATAGCAGAAACATAATTTCACAAGACAAATACATGTAATTTTTCTACATCTGTATAATGTGAATAATGTATACACACTGCAGGGATTTTTTTTTTGCCCACTATTTGGTCTCTCTGATCAGTGTTGTCAAAGTCATGAGGGAAACAAGCAGGGAGGGCGAGGGAGGAATTTCAAAGCCTGTCCCTGCCCCATTAATGAAATCTTTAATTTTGTACCCGTTTTAGGGATTACTCTGTGATTGGCCCCATGGAGATTTTACTGCTTCTTTATATTAATTCTTTATTAACAGATCTGTTAAGCTAGACTCCTGCTAAGACGAACCAGCTCTGAATAGCACATTTATTTGGGGACCTTTGCTTTTCAAGCTCCCATCTATCCACACTGAAGTCTTTGGCTTAATTAACTTTACTGAAAGTGCAGAACTCTTTTCAAGATACAAGAAATCAACAGATAGGAGAATGTGATAATTTGGCCAACAAAACCAGTGACAAAAAGATAATATAAAGAAAACATCAGCTAATGGTTTATAACATTTTCTACCTCCTAAACAAGTAAATAAATCCCTTTAACAAACAAGCACGGCTAAATACTCAATCTCTTTTGTATTAGTCAAAATCCAGGAAGTGATCAATTCCCACTCTACAAGATCTTACTGAAGGCTGGTCCTGAGATCCATCCCAGTAGATTCTGATCAAAACACTCCAATCAAGTTTATTTTAAAAGGAGTTTTTAGATGAAATCATGTCATTAGAACTTAGAGATGGGATGTTATTGTTGATGTTGTTGTATCTTGAGATTATAGCCAGTCAGACTAAAGCCAGGTGGTGGAGCTGTGGCTCAGTAGCAGAACATTTGCTTAGATCAAGATGGGTAGCCATGTTAAGTCTGTCGGTAGCAGCAGAAAAGAGCACGGGTCCAGTAGCACCTTAAAGACTAACAAAATATGTGGCAGGGTGATTTCAGATGCCAAATGAATCCAGGAATTGATAATGAAACTCAAGACAATACATCCACCTGGACTGAATCGAGACCTAGGTTTCCTGACTCATTAGCAATGCTGATTTCTCCACACCTATTACCCTCTCCATATCTCACCTGAATCCAATCATGCCCACTATTGTTATTTGCCTGCTAATGTCATTCGGCATCTGAAATCACCCCACTTTCCAATAAATAGGACAGATGGGACTCCCATTCTAACTGTATCTGAAGAAGTGAGTCACTCATGAGAACATCTGCTTGGCATATGGAAGGTCCCAGGTTCGATCCTTGGCAACTCCAGTAAAAAAAAAAGAAAAAAGGAGATGATGGGAAAGACCTCTGCCTGAGACCCTGGACAGCCACTGCCGGTCAGAGTAGACAATACGGACTCTGACTGACCAAAGGTCTGATTCAGTATAAGGCAGCTTCATAGTGTGTTCAAGTAGTTATTACTGGCAACAGGCACAATAAACCAGTTAATGTATTCACTCCCACAGCTGGAGGTAAGTTATCAAAGCTACTTTAACCTTATCTATCCTTACTAATGAAGTCATAAAACTTAACGAGAGGAAAGGCTTGAGTTCAGCCAGAGGCTGTATTAATTTCATTTTACAAATGAAATGCCTTTCTGCCCTCCTAAGAACCACCAGGGGGGCTAACCAAACACACAAAATAAAATTGTCTTAAAAACCATTATACCCAACAAAAATTTAAACCAGAGCTAAAACACATACAAAGACAAAATCAACAATTAAAACATTGGCCAGGAAACAGGGACCACTGAGAGAATGCCAAATGAAACAAACACAGCTTCACCTGCTGGTGGGACGTGGCAACAGAAGGGGACAGACAAGTCTCCCTGGGGAGAGAGTTGGTGCCACAACCAAGAAGGCCCTTTCCTTCTTGGGTGGATTTTGGGGGTGGAGCCTAGGAAACGCTGGGTCTAGGGTATAACGTAACAGAGTCCACCTTCTAAAGCAGTCATTTTCTCCAGGGGAACTGATCTTTATCTTCTGGACATTAGTTGTAATCTCGGGAGACAACTCTAACTCACCTGGCAATGGGAAACTAAGCTGTGCTTGTGGAGAGCTACCCAGCTGGCAACCCCGCCTAGGGCGAAAAGGATAAGAACGGAGGAAGGGAAAAGAAAGCTTTAAAAAAAAATCTTGATTCAGCATGGTGTAGTAGTTAGAGTGTAAGAGTAGAATCTGGGAGGCCCAGGTTCGAATCCCCCATGGAAGCTTGCTGGGTGAACTTGAGCCAGTCACCCCTTCTCAGCCTAACCTACCTCACAGGGATATTGTGAGGATATAATGAAGAAGAGACCCACGTAAGCCACTTTGGATCCACACTGGGGAGAGAGATGGGGACTACAAGAAGTAAAATCAATACATCTTAAAACAGAGAGGGGCCTGTACTTGCGGTGGCAGCCAGAGTGAAGACAACATGAGAACCGTTGAGGCAAAAGCAAGAGGCAAAACCCTGCGATGCCTACCCCCACACACCCCCGTCCACAGGAGGCAAAGCTAGCGACATCGTGATGGATACAGACGGACCAGGGCAGTGGCATTTCAGAATGTGTGAATATATGTATAATGCATATGTCTCTACTTTATCTACCTTTGTCTTCCCAAAATGCATTCTGTATCACTGAAGTGACCACCCCAGAAACAGCCTCCCACCCCAAAATGAAAACACTACTTCTTTGACTTTGAAGATGAGAATCCCCCTCTCCCCTCGCTCTTAAATGCTTGTCCACTGCCTATTGGCCGTCTCTTCCTAAACACAGGAATCTAGATGCCAACCTCCCCCACCCCCAACTTCCCCAAAGTTTTGCATACGAATGGGAGAACCTGGGTGATCGTGATGAAGTTGATGGGCAACAGACGCAGGATGGACAAAATGAGATACTTCTTCACCCGATAAGCTAATTACAGAGTTCAGTGCCTGTGGGACGTGGTGGTGGCTGCTAGCCCAGATGGCTTTAAAAGGGGGTTAGACAGATTCCTGGAGGAGAGATCCAAAGGCAGCCACTAGCCCACATCACTGAATACCAGCACTAGGAGGCAGTATCAGAGGAAGGTCATGGCCTCTATGCCTTGTTTGTTGGTCGCTGCATGAGAAACAGGATGCTCAACTAAACAGATCATTGTTCAGATCCAGCAGGATACCTCTTCACAAGCTACAGATAAGTGAGTGAAAAGGCTAGGGGGGGAAAAACCAAGAACAGTTGTGTTCAGATGTTTCTCTTGGCTGCTTGCTTCTCATCTGTGCCCTCCACCTCTGAGCCCCTTCCCATCAACTCCTTCCCAGCACTGGGGATCTCTTAAGAACACAGGAAGAGCCCTGCTCGATCAGACCAATGGTCCATCTAATCCAGCCTTCTGCCTCACACGGGACTCGGTTCAGGGCCTCGCACTTTTCAATATTTTTTTAGAAATGATCTGGATGAGGGTGTGGAGGGGCTACTCATTAAATCTGCAGATGAGACCAAATTGGGAGGAGGAGCGAACACACCAGAAGATGGAGATAGAATTCAACGAGATCTGGACACACCGGAATAGTGGGTGAACGTGAACAAGATGCAATTTAACAAGGATAACTGCCAAGTTCTAAATCTGGGTAACAAAAATGAGGAACACGCATACTGGGTGGGGGATACACTTCTGAGTAGCAGTGTGTGTGAACAAGACCTTGGGG